CAATCATTAAGGCCCATTTTCCCAGTCGTTAGTTAACTACTAGCTGTTTTAACTATTCGTTAACTAATGGACGTACATTAGTTAACTGCAGTCAACCATAAGTCAAACTGATACTGTGAAATGAGAAATGGTGGTTTAACCTTAGCATAGTAGTTATCTAATGACTGTGAAAATGGCCCTAATAGCGTCTAGGAATGTTGTTAGACTGTACTCCGTAGGTACATTGACAAAAATTCCTATAAAGAAACGTAATAAGTACACTTCGGATGTTTATGCAGAAAACGAAGCCTAAAAATGTGTACCCCATAACTATAAAATATATACAAATTTTTTTTTTTTGCTTATAGTTAAATGGTACAATTTTTAGGTTTCGTTTTCTGCATAAAAATTCGCAGTCTAGTAACATCAAACCTTATAAATGCATTATATGTAAACCGTATTAAATTATAATTGTGTAAACTTTTTAAATCAATTGCCAAAATTTGTAGGGAAACTCGTTTACACATTTGTGATAAATTTCTCCAACGATTTCAGTGAATAATCTTGATAAACTGAAGCCAATGCAACTCTGTCGCAAGTATAAAGGGAAAGAGAGTATGGGACGGCCATTTAACAGAGCTCTTAAATTTATCAGCAGGGAATGGATTTTTAGGACATAAAAAATTATAAAAAAAAAAACAAAATAAAATAGCGAAATAGGATGGAAAAGGCAAAATAAGATAATGAAATAGGCAGGAAAAGGCATTGCATCTTTTTCAAGAAAAAAATGAACTGACTATTCTGAAGTACATTTTACGCTTTCTGAAGTACATTTGATGCTTTCTGAAGAACATTTTACAGTTTCTGAAGTACTCTTGGAAATGGTGTAGAAATAGCAAAAAACGCAAGAAGGCACTAAAAAATACAAAAACTGAAAAATACCACTGGTTTACAGGAAAAATGTTCAACAGACGCCACTACATATCCAATTCCCATATATAATTGCTCGCTGATTCCGAAAATCGAGTTAATTTTTTATTCTATGGATAAGTTTTCGAGATATTTTCATGTGTACATGGCGTATGAGTAACATTCTTTCCTGCTCATTTTTTATAAAAAGATCATTGCGCATTTTCACCGTTTATTACTTCTTTATTTATCCATCGATTTTATTCAGTCAGCCCTATTCTGCATTTCGATTACGTTCCCGCATTCCGCTCCGCTAGAATCGTGATTTGGTATTCTGAGTTACGCTCGAATCGAAAGAATAGGAGGAAGAGCGAAAACATCTTCGAAATCAGCTGGTTGCCTAGGAATGTGTAAAATCGAAACAAAAAAAAAGAAATAATTGCACCAAACTATAGCAGCTTATGAAGTTAAACTTTGTAAATATTTAAAATAACTAAATATACCTGACTCATTTTAATTTCAAAATAAAATTTCGTTTGTCCTTAATTAAAGTGGAAACATAATTCTATTGCTTGAAGAGGAGAACGAGTCCCAGATTGCTGATGCGAAAGTTCAAAGGCGGAGATTTAGAGACATGTTTGACTCCTTTCAGATGAGTGAAGAATTATAAGGAATTCATCTTGTACTGTATTCTCACCGCTTAAAGCCAGTGAAATTATAAACGTTGTTTGAGCACTCCACAACAATTGCATTTAGAACAGAGTGGAAAACTCGAACGCAAATGAATTCGATTTTGAAAGCCGTCAAGAAGAGGGGAAGAACAAAGCTTATCCTTCCATAGCAAATCGTATTCGAGACAACATACACACCTCTCTTTAAAAAGTTAGTAAAAACGAGTACAATAATAAAAACATCTTTTTTTGTAACTCCACACTTATGGACGTATGTAATATAAAAAGATTAAATTGTATTCAGTGCATTTCACAGTCTTATTTATAGATAATGAAAACAAAAACGCCTGGACTTCCTCTTTGACAACCCTGCGCTACGATCGAAATGTAGAATAGGTACAATCGTAAATTTCGAAGATTGAACGAAACGAAACGGAACGCAGAATACCAAAGCTGCCAAACGGAGAAAATTTCGATTCGAGTCGAAATGCAGAATATGGCTGATTATCAACTTGATTTTTTTGTAACAGAACGACGTGAGTTGATACAAGTGGCGCCCAATTTAAATATGAAACGTTTAAACTTTTATATTACCAGGAATAAGGGCTTTTTCCTCGCTATAATCATTTTTTTTTAAGGTATAATAGGCAGAAAAAGGCAAATATCTTAAGAAAGGCAACATAAAATGTGTATATATGGAATCAGGGAAAGCTAGATCATAGACATTCTTAATCGAATCTACTCAATCTCTTTAGCAGAAAAAAAGGCAATTTCCTTAAATTCCGTTCCCCGTTTATAAGAATTTATGCTTGATAAAGTTATCAGTTTAGATGAATATCACTAATATTAATTTAAAAATCACTAATATTAATTAAAAAATATCATGTAAATTTAAAATGTGGCAGTAAAGGTAATTCCTTTGACACATTTTAACACATGACAACTGAAATTTCAAATAAGGTTTGGTCGAAAGCGGGAATTTAAAAGTAGCATTCGGTGCCCACGGATTTTCAATTCTCGTTTAGTTTACGGCGAGAAAAATTTGACACACCATTAAGCGAAGCGCACTTTAGCGCGATTCTGACTTTGCGAATCCGCAGAGCCAAAAATTACAACAATACTACCTACCCATATATTTTAATTCAGTCGTTACGAATTTTTCTCTTTTGTCGCGTTCGAACGTGGCTTGCAGGCGTTTTGCAGGCGCCAAAGAAGAGGAAGACAAGTGTCATAGCAATTAATGCAAAGAAAAAATGTGTGATGAACAAAAACTAATACAAAACGTTCCTAAGAATCCTATTTTATACGATGTGGACACGCCGAGTACAAAAATATACGAAAAATGGGGAAAATTAAGTGAATTGTACATCGAGATTCGACGCGAAAAAATCGCACAAGTGTGCGCACGTTTGCAGATTTGAAGTTAACAGCCGAATTGAACGTGAATATGTAATTCGGTTGCAAGGAATGTAAAACTTGATTTTCGGACGCAGAGGATTGTGATATTACTGGAATCTTGAAAACAATGGTTGTCAAAATTTTTTAAAACTTAGAGAAGCGACCATTTTTGGCTCTTAATTAAACTACTCCCATCCTCCCCCCCACAAACCACAATTACGTACTCGTATATTGTTATTATTTTTTGAATACATATTTATAGCATATGCATATTTATATGCATATTTTTGGGCATATTACATACATATTGCTGCTTGCTTTCCAATTAACTATTACATACAGGCATAACTTCAGAATTCACTTAAACACCAATATAATAAAACTTAAGGATATAATAAAAATCAATTACATTCATTTAATTGATTGAACATGTATGAAATATTAACTTAGTAAGTAGGTTTTCTATGATTAATACTAAAATTTTTTTTAAATTCATAGATTCGATTTATTAACTATGTAAATAAATACTTAAATAGTAATTATAATCTAAATGCCACATTCATAAATAATTTCAAAGATTTAAAATTCTTTATAAATGTTATACTTCTATGGGCAAGCAAACACTTGTGGTTTTTTGAGGCGAAGAAAAATGTCACGATTTTGTAACACATGTATTGAAAGAAAATGCGCGCTCCAATGATTTTATCCCCGCGCAGCAAAAAAATCCGCGACATGCTACAGATCTTTCTCTGCAATGCGCAGTTTGGCATTTGAGTTTACATTTTTCATCAAACAAATTAAATTTAATATGCATACATACATACATATGAGGCCATGAGGGCCAGAGGAGCCTATCTACAAAAAACTTTTTTTTAGTAATATATAAAAAATAAATGCGGTCTTTTACTAAAAAGTTCATTGCACCTACGTGATGCTACATATTTTACTAAAATAATACTAAAAGGCGTGCCTTGGGCTATTACCGTTTTGATTCTAGTAATGTATTTTTAGGTGCACCTAAAATTTTTTTGAAATGTCAGTTTGGCTACTCTGGCGCTCATGGCCTCATATGTATGCAAGTTTCAGAAATATCGCATTTAAAGTGGAAAATAATAATGTTTCTCGAGCTCACGTCTTCTATTCTGTAGTGAAGAACTGGCTCGCGTTTTTTCCTTTGCCACGTGACAAAACGTAACCAGTGCTTTTTAAATGACATTTTTAAAGGCATTTCAAATCTATTTTATTATTTATGAAAGCGGCCATAAATCTATGTATGTATATTAGACTGCCTCACCAAAAAGTTGCGGTTTTTCCGCCGGGATTACAAAATTTATTATATTTTAAGACGTCCACCAAAATATTTCGGAAAAATATTAAGATTTAAGCGAGCTGGACCGATTTGAAAATACCTCAAAAAAATAGAGTTTCTTTTTATTAATAAAAATAGTTTCTTAAAGAACTTTTTGAAAAAAGTCCCCTCAGATGACAAAACAGATTAGGCCTAAAAAATCTGCATAAAAATATTCAAAAATCTTTTCAACGGAATCGTAATAATGAGATTTTTAATGCTGATTTTTACTTTTTTCAAAGATTGATTTACGAAAAACTTAAATAACTGGGCCAAAACTACTCTGATTTAGACTAATGGGATTTATGCGCCAAAAAAGTCATTTGTGTCTCTTTTTTTTTAATACCAACATTTCTTAATGCAACTTTGAATGATGTTCGTTCATCCTACCTTTCTCTTTCATGCTTTGAATGAGCTTATTGGCAAATAAATAAAAAGGGTGAGAAAATGCCTTTCCAATGATACCTCACTAGTCTGAATCGGAAGAGTTAAGGTTCAGTTATTAAAGTTTTTCTTATACCAATCTTTGAAAAAAGTTAAAAAACAGCATCAAAAATCTCACTATTACGATTCCATATTTTTTTTTTTTCAATATTTTTTTGTTAATTTTTTAAGCTTAATCCGTTTTGTCATTTGAGGGCATTTTTTCAAAAAACATCTTTAAGAAACTATTTTTATTCATAAAAAACTCCATTTTTGGAGGTATTTTCAAATCGGTCCAGGTCGCTTAAATCTTAATATTTTTCCGAAATATTTTGGTGGACGTCTTGCTCATATATTATGTAATAGATTTTACAAGTCCATCGGAAAAACAGTACCCTTTTTTTTTGTATGGGGAGTGATGCAGTCTAATGTATATGTAAATGTACATACGTTATTTTCATTAATGTTGCACATTTTTTATTTTGTTTATTTCGCACGTTTCGGTTCACTCGAACCGTTATCTTTGGATAAATTATCTGAATTTTTCCTCTTTCCTTGCGTTTGCACTCTCGTCACAGTCGTTCCTCCACCACTGAAATATACATAAAAACATTTAAATAGGTTATATTAGTTGAGAGTTTGTTTGAGTTGTGTTTGAAAATTCCAAAAAAAAATTAATCCTAATCCTTCCAAACAGGGCTTCGGAGCGGAGTGGAGCAAAGCAGCAAGGAGCAAAAAAATTTTAGCTGGAGCGGAGCTGGAGCAAAGAGTTAAAAAATTCATTTGCTCCTTAGCTCCCTAATATAGAATTTTCAATTAATAAATTTACTTATTTTTTTTTGCCACCGAAAGCAACGATGTTAAATAAACTTCCATTCTATTTATTCTACCTGGCAATACAGTTCATTGCACAATAGGGTGGTCCAAAAAGACATGCGGGAAAAAAATTTAATATGTTAAGCTCTCACCCCCTAGAATTTTTTTCTGAATGGAAAAAAATAATACCCCTATTTTTTTGTAAAAAAACGATATGTAGAACTGCCTCAAAGCCCAGGAAGTTGTCCATGTGTTTTATATGAGGAAAAACACTTTTTCATAGGAATGGTATAGAATTTTGCAAAATCAACCCCCAAAAACTCCAAAAAATGTAAGGGGGGCCCATAAAAAATATATATGTATAAAGTATAAAAAGTATATGTCGCACAATGGGCTATATGACGACATTAGACGGAAAAAATCGAAGTGGAATTTTGATGCTTTGATGATTCCACCTTGTTAAGAAATTTCCAATTACACAGAAAAAATTTTCCTTTGGTGTTTTAAAGCTCTTTTTATCAGTTTTTTTGTATGTCGAATTTGATGTTTTCAAACTTTGTTTTCTAATAATTACACAAATCAAATGGACATTTTTGAAAAGTGGTGTGTTGTTTATCACACTGGAATACCAGTGATACTATCACTCTTTTCAAGTGGCTGCTATTTGACTATTGTAGAACGCAGCCTACAAGATAGTGATGTATCAACAATAGCGTGGATTGGAAACTAGGCCTTTCCAACCGTAACGAAAGCGCGACTGGGTGGATCGGAAACTCGGCCTTTTCGCCCACCCAGGAGATATCAATAAATGGAGTAACCCAAAAAGAATAGCGCGGATTGGAAACTCGGCCTTTCCAACCGTCTACATAACTTCCCGGAAATTGCATGCGTTTATATTGACATAAAATAATTGCAGTGATAAAGAAATAATGTTATTTAAAAATTTCCGTAGAGCATTTTGTATTTTTTATTTAATATTTAATATTTACATTTTAAATCTAAATCTAATTATAAGAATGTTATATCTTTGTTGCAATATAACTCTAACAGACTGTAAAAAATAAATAAATAAAAATAAAATAAAACGCCGAAAAGAATGTATTGGACATAGAAAACGATGTTTTTTTTATGAAATAAAAACAACTAGTATGTGATGATGAGCTACAGTAATGTGTCAAAATTAGGCGTTTTTCGTCAGAAAATATGAACAAAGTCGAACCTTTTTGGACAATCTAAACAATGTACTGTCATGTACTTTTCTTAAATTTTTTTGTGAGACTTAATGATTCCTACTTTTAGATGTTGCTTAAGCTAGACTTTGCACGACCCTGCGACGATGTCAAATTCCATATTATATGAAGCATAGTCTGTACGAAAAAATGATCATAGTTACCTAAGAGTTGCGACTGATGAAGCAGATGAAAGTTCGCAGATATAACTCAAAAAATATATATATAAACCAAATATGTAGTTATAAGTTATATATTCATAAAACAGTAATTGAATATATTAAACAATTTTACATTCAAACTTGAAATAGTGTTTTCTTTGCAGTGTAAAGCTTTAAAATTTATTTAAACTATATTCAACAATTTTTATTGAGCTCGAGGCCTTGAAAACTTATTGAGGAAAAGCAACAATAATTTGAAAAATGGTAGAAGTGATAGCTATTTCGGAAATCACCACATTTCCTCATCAGACTTCTTTCAGTAGGATTCGAACCGACGATCCCACTGACTCAGCCAGTTGCCTATGCACCGTGCTAAGTACGCCTTGTAAATTATCGTTTGCTTATTTCCACTATTTTCATTTTTGTTATGCCAACACAATCAAGCGCAGCTATTCCGCTGCAATTCACTTGATCATGTGGTTGTTGGTTTTGTTGGTTTGTGCTAATAATTCTATTTTTAGAATGCTTAACTTTTAGGTGTGCTCGTCCTTAAGTTATTTGTTTTTTGTTATTTTTTGGCCTTTTAACAATTATATTCAACAATTTTATAATGAGCTCGAGGCCATTTTTTAAATGAAAATTTATTGTGGAAAAGCAACAATAATTTGAAAAAATGGTAGAAGTGATAGCTATTTCGGAAATCACCACATTTCCTCATCAGACTTCTTTCAGTAGGATTCGAACCGACGATCCCACTGACTCAGCCAGTTGCCTACGCACTGTGCTAAGTTCGCCTTGTTAATTCTTGTTGCTTATTTCCCACTATTTCACTTGCTAAGCCAACTACAATCAAGAGCAGCTATTCCGCTGCAATTCACTTGATAGTGTGGTTGTTGGTTTTTGTTAATATTTTCTATTATTAGAATGTTTAACTTTTAGATGTGCTCATCCTTAAGTTATTTGTTTTTGTTATTTTATGGCCTTATAACAATTATATTCAACAATTTTTATTGAGCTCGATTTAAACTGTAAATACGTTTTTCGATTATATTGGTCTCAGAGCTTTTGGGAAGGTTAAAACTATATTTCCAACATCTACATAAACTCCTCTTTCTCTTCATCAGAATCGGTAGAAGTTAAGAAAGTACCTCGAAGGTGTTCACACGGAGTTTGTCAGGACTGGGCCAAAAATCAATATTTTTGCATCACACGTTTGGGTACCAAGTATTCAAAAGATGAAGCAAATGGGACCACAAATAGGATTCTTTAGGATAGCTCTCAATCCCTGAGCCCCCTATCGGAAGAAAAGTTCTTCTAAAAACCTTTTCACAAAATACATAACAACCATTCCATGTGATTTTGAAATCTGGGAAAATATTCTTCCCAATTGAATGATTCTTGCCATTTTCAATGTTTGTAGATGTAGGTGTATCCATAACCTTATCACAAGTAGTTCCAGAGATAATAAGTGATATGGAAATTGCATTTTGTATGGGAGGTGCCACATCCCCCTTTCCAATACAAACCACTTTTCGCCATAAGTACGTTAGCAAAAGCGGTTCCAGAGATAAGCGATATTTGGAATTCGGTTTGTATGGGAGATTCCACGCCCCCCTTCCACCTACCACTTATCGCCGTAAGTACGGTATTGTTAACATATGTAGCTGTTTAAATTTTCAGGATGTTAGCAAAAGCGGTTCCAGAGATAAGCGCTTGACAATTTCAGTTTGAATGGGAGGTGCCACGCCCCCTGTTCCATTATCCACCACCTCTCGCAATAAGTACGGAATTGATAACATATGTAGCTGTGTCAAATTGCAGAACGTTAGCATAAGCGGTTCCAGAGATAAGCGATTGAGAATTTCAGTTTGTATTGGAAGTGCCACGCCCCCTTTTCCAATACCTATCATTTTTCGCCGTAAGTAGGGTATTTACAATTTATGCATCCGTGCCAAGTTTCAGTTCCCTAGCGTAATTGGTTTTAGAGATACATCAGTTTTCACATTTAGTCTTTATGTCAGACGCCACGGCCCCTGTTCACATTTCTGGATTAGAGGAAGTTATAAAATTAAGGATAGTTTATGCGAGTTGAGTTGAGCTGAAATAACATTAGTTGGAATGGGTTAAGTGGAGGGGAGTTTAGCTTAGTACTTAGCATAACATAACATACCATAACATAAGATTAAATAACATAACATGTAGCATAGCACACCACAATATAACATCGCACATTCTTCAGTTGTATTTCCTTTTTATCCCTATCACTTTCTTCCTCTCTATCCTTGTCTCCATCGCTTCATGTGGTGAAATTGGGTGTGGTGAGTTGCGGTGTGGTGGAATTGGGTGTGGGAGTTACGGTGTAGTGAATTCAGGTGTGGTGGGCTTAAAAGGTGTGAATTTAGGTGTGGTGAATTTAGTTGTGGTGAGTTGAGGTGTGGTGAATTTTGAGGTGTGGTGAATTAAGGGGCCGTGAATTAAGGTGTGGTGGTTAAGGTGTGGTGAGTTGGGATTAAGGTGTTTGGGGTTAAGGTGTGGTGAGTTGAGGTGTGGTGAATTAAAGTGTAATTTAGGTGTGGGGAGGTAAGGTGTGGTGAGAAAATTGAGGTGTGGTGAATTAAGGTGTGGTGGATTTAGGTGTGGTGGTAAGTTTTTAAGTGGACGTGAGATGAGTTGAGGTGAGTTAAGTTAAGTTAAGGGGTTATCTTCATCTTCATCTTCTTCGTCTTGGTCTTCATCTTCATCTTCATCTTATCCTCATCTTCATCTTCATCTTCATCTTCATCTTCATCTTCATCTTCATCTTCATCTTCATCTTCATCTTCATCTTCATCTTCATCTTCATCTTCATCTT